TTTTAAAGAAATATATTTTTATACATAGAAATAAAATTTTCATTAAATTTAAAAATAATTTAATTATTATTAGTCTTCTTTCTTTTATTAATAATTCCGAGTCTGTTCACAGTTTTTGTTTCCAAACTGTTTTGTACATTTTTCTGTTTAAATATTTTGAATTTTAAAATTACCAGATAAAATTCTAATTTAATTCTTTGAAAATAAAAAAATTATAAAAATTAATTAATCCAAATTGTTTTGAATTAAAGATCGTTATTTAATTTATAAATTTAATTTAACATTCTAAAATATAAATATAGTTATTACTACATATAAATTATTGTAGAAAATCTAATTTTTTATTTTTTTTTATTTTTAATAATTTTTAAATATCACATTCTTGTTAAATTTGATGTTATTCAAATTTTTTTTAGCTATTATAATTTATAATCTGAAATAATTTAATTTTTGCTTAGCATTTTATTAAAGTTCTTACAAGGAATTTAATTAAAAATGTACTAAAAATAAGTGAATTCTTCTAAATAATTTTATTAAAAATTTTTGGAAAGTAATTGAAATTTTTCAAAGAATTTTATTAATTTCATAAAAATAATTGAATTACATAAAAAAAATGTTAACTGAAATGAAATTGAAAATAATTGAATTTTATCAAGAAATTTTATTAAAATTATATTGAAAATAATTGAATTTCATCAAGAAATATTCTGTTAAAATTGTCTTCAAATTAATTGAATTTCTGCTAAGAATTTTATTGAAATTTTTTAAAGTAAGTGAAATTTGGCGAAGAATTTTATTAGTTTAGAAAATAATTGAATCGTTTTCAATTTTATTATTAATATCTCTGAAAATAATTGTATTTTATTAAAATTTTTATAAATAATTGAAATCTTTTCAGAAATTTGTCATTAAAATTGTATTTTAAAAATAATTGAATTCCTGTGAAGAATTTTATTATTGATGAAAATAATTAAATTCTTATGAAGAATTGTATTAAAAATTTTTGCAAATAATAAACAATAATAATTAATTAATTCGGTGAGAAGTGAATTTTTAAAAATATTGATTCTGAAATTATCGAAAAATTGCAGTTGATATTAAATAAAGAATTTTGTAACATTTGCCTAATAATAATAGATGGAATACCTCATTATCACGCGTGTAAAATTTTCAAGTCTGCATATTAATAATTTAATATTGAAAATAAAATAATTTCTTCAAATTTCCAAAAAAAGATTCAAACAAAAATCAACATTTCCTACTGGTAACAGTTACAAAAAAGAAGAAAGAGAATGAAAAAGAATACCAATTAGACATGTTCGAAAATCGAAAGGAGGAGCTTTATCGACATAAATTACAAGCATCAGATAAGGACTTCGCGAAGCCCTTTTAAAGGACAGTTGAAAAGGAGGGAATTTGAGAAGATTGAAATTTCTTGAAAACAAAGTCGCATTGTTGGGAAGCGACGCTTTTGTGCAAGAGATCGGATTAATTTTCACTTGCATCATTCAAAGAGGTCCAACTATCCCAAGGAACATTGAGCAGTGAATCGGAGAACTTATTATCGTAACGAGTTTCGCGCGATAGATAGCGAATCCCTTTTCGTATAATTATATATATACACCTCTCTCTCGTCTCTCTCGTGAATTGCGATAATACATTATTTGCACCATAGTGCGAGAAAAAAAATTCCATTCATTTTAAAAGGGGAAAATAGAAACTCTTCTCTTTAGAAAAGAAGCAAAAAATTTTTCCCCAAACTAACTTGAAATCTTATCTCTATCAGAAGTCAAAACATCGTTTTGTTTTTTTGAGGCAAAAAAAATAAAAATAAGGTCATGCAAATGAAACATGACCTGTTCGTTTATCAAGGGAGTCGGTCGCATTCAAGAAAGGGCATTCATTTCATCTCTTTTGACATACTATATACGATGAGACGCAAACATACGGCGTATCTTTCTATTTGTACGTCTTTGAATCTTACTATCCAGATAAGCGTAACGTGGAGAGGAGTGAGGCTTTTTTGCGGCCAGATATTTTTACTTTTGCAAATGTATATATACTTTCGCAAAAGACTGAAGTGTATCTAAGGTTTTTCTTTTTTGCTTTCCTTTTTTTCTTCTTTTTCTTCTTCTTCTTCTTCTTTTTTTTTTGTTTCTAGTTTACGCTGTCTCGACTTGAAATCTACGACTGTGGACATTTCTTAAGAAAGTTGACTACCCGTTTGATAAGATTTTCCCCTTGGCGTATATAAGAAGACGCTCCTGCGAAAGCTCCGCACACTGTATATCCGGAGGCGAATGCAAAATACATTTCGCTGCCGAGAAATGCTTTTCTTTACTTTTCTAAATTGAACAATTATTCCTGAAAAACATGTTAATTTTAATTACTGTGCATTCTCTTGTCGAGGAAATTAAGAAAATAAAAATTCAGAGAAAATTCTTTTTTGCAGAATTCTTTTTTTTTAATTACGTCAACATTTGATTTCATTTTCGTAATTATTTTAATTAATTAAAATAAATAGAAAGAAAAAAATCTGCAATTTTTTATTCTTTGCTGATTCTTTTTTAATAAATAAATGTATAAACAAATAAATAAATGAATAAACTCGCAAATAGTAGAAAAAATGAATAAAGCTGTTAAATAGTAAACAAACTAATAAATTGAAATATCAATCAAATGAATAAATTCATAAATATTAAAAAAAATCATGAAATAGTAAACAAATTAATAAATCGAAAAAGTAAACGAATAAATTTGTAAATAGTAAAAAATATGTTAAATAGTAAAAAAACTAATAAATTAATAAATAGTACCTAAACAAATTAATAAATTGAAAAAGGAAACAAATGAATAAATTTGTAAATAGTAAAAATGAATAAATAATAAAAAACTAATACATTGTTAAATAGTAAACAAATTTAAAAAAATGGTTAAATAGAAAATAAATTAATAAATTCGTAAATAGTAAACAAATTTATAAATTAAAATAGCAAACAAATGAATAAATTCGTAAATAGTAAAAAAAATCGTTAAATGGTAAACTAATAAATTGAAAAAGAAAAAGAATAAATTTGTAAATAATAGTAAAAAATATTAAATGGCAAAAAAATTAATAAATTGTTAAATAGTAAACATATTAATAAATTGATAAATAATAAAAAATGCATAAATTAGAAAATGGTAAGTAATAAAAAAAAATACTCAAATAGTAAAATAATTATGAATTAGATGAATAATTCAAAACTTTTTTAAAATTGATAAATAATTAAGAAATACTTTCGGTTTGAAAATTAAAAAAATATATATTTGGATAATTAATTAATATATTTGGATAAGGGAGAAAATTTTCTAGGTCAAATATATAAAATTTAATATTTCTAATTAGTTAAGTAACTTTGAATTTTGTAAAATAGTCTCGAGAATAATACAATTTAGAAAGAAGCAGTGGATTACAAAATAGGAGATTCAAGTTAAAGTAGTGAAAAAATCCTTTTAAAACGATTCATGACCTCTTACTATTTCATCATTCTGTCTGACAACTTGTTAAAGAGAGTTGAAAATAAAATCTAGAACTAGTGTATGACTAATATTTAGAATGGGGTCGTAACCGGTCCATAGATTCTAATTTCTAGTTTCAAAAAAGAATTTTTTAATAATACTTTATTCTGATTTATATCTATGAATTCAAGTAAAATAACTATTTTATTTATTATTTTATTATTAACTTCATTTATTTAGTCATTTTATTATTTTAATGACTATTTCTTTATTCTTTTAAATATATATTTTTTTTACTGTCTGCTCTTTTATTATTTTTGTCATTTTGTCAAAAATTTCTTTTTTGTTTTTCTTTTGTCTAGATTTATAAATTTATTTACTATTTTCGTTAATTAATTTTCTATTTCTTATTTCAAATCCTAATTTTCATTCCATTTGCTACCATTTTTACTGTCAACTATTTTTTCCTGTTTTCTCTTTTCTTATTTGAATCACTCTATTTTTCATTTTATTTTCAATTTTTCTAGTTAAATTTCTATTTTTTTTATTTTATTTCCAATTTTTTATTTTTTCAATTATTTTTTATATTTTGTTTACTTTTTTTTTTAAATTTCCATTTTTTTATTTTATTTCCTTTTTATTATTTATTTTGTGTATAATATTTTCTTTATTTCTTCCATTTCTTTATTCATTTCTCCTTTTTTATTTTAATTACAATTTTTTATTTTATTTACTACTTTTTTGTTGTCAACTATTTTTTTTAGTTTTGTTTTCTATTTTTGTATTTTATTTTCTATTTTCGTAGCTCATTCACTATTTATTTATTTTGTCAAATATTTTTCTTACTTTCTATTTTTTTAATTTCGTTTGGTTTTTACTTTGTCAACTATTTTTTTTATTTTCTACTTTTTTATTTTATTTACTCTATTTTTTATTTTGTTCACTATTTTTTTAATTTATTTTCTATTTTCGTATTTCATTTACTATTTATTTATTTTGTCAAATATTTTTTTTCTTTTTATTCCTTTATTTTATTTACTCTATTCTTAAACATTATTTTCAATTTTTCTATTTTATTTTCAAATTTATTATTATTATTTTCTTTAATACTTTTGTGGTTTATTTACTATTTGTTTATTTTCGTCAACTATTTTATTTTTGTCAATTTTTTATTTTAATTACAATTTTTTATTCTATTTAGGTACTTCTTTTCTATTGTCAACTACTTTTTCAATTTTGTTTACTATTTTTCAATCTTATTTTTTATTTTCGTATTTCATTAACTATTTAATTATTTTATCAAATATTTTTTTCAATTTCTATTTTTTAATTTTAATTACTATTAAATGAAAAAAAAGAAAAGAATTATCTATCAATTGTCAAATAAATTATTTCTAAAAAAAACCTGTAAAATATGAACAAAAATCAAATAAATTGAAATTAATTTAATTTCACAGATATATTTGTATAATAAATAGTGGTGAAAAAAGAAGACTCACATTGAACGACATATGCTCCTAATTCGGCTGCCAGATCGAAGGATACCGGGAGCCTCCCTTGAAGAATGTCCTGTTTGACTTGCAGGAAGAATTGATACCTAAAAAAAAAGAAAGAAAAAGAATTGAGAAGAGCGCAAGAGTTTCTTCACGCCAGAATACTGTTTTTTTTTCTTCTTCTTTATTTTCTTTTTGTTTTTTATCTGAAAAGTTGCTCCACTGCAGCAAAGTTGAGTGTAGCATGAGAAATATATGTGTAAAGAACTAAAAAGTCGAAAGGTCATGTTGCGGTTAAGGAATGACCGCAACTTTGGTTTTACAGTCAAAGCCGCCTGCGGTTTCTCTCCTTCGCCGCATGTAAAGTTATCGTTAAGTACTTTTGCCAATAATATCCACATGATTCACATTTTCCCTCAAGAAAATGCTCTTTTTCTCTAAACACACAATTCTGATTAAAATATTCTTTTTACAAATTTAGAATAGAAATAGAAATAAAAATAATAAAAATAATAAAAATCTTTTCTAGTTTTAATCAAACAAAAAAATTGCTACAATTCCTAGAATACTGAGTAGTAAAAAAAATCAAGTCTTGTTTCAAACGACAAGTTTAGAATACACAACAGAGAAAGTAGAATTTGGTGGCTATTCACGTGTGCGCTCTATCAAAATTTCATTTGTCTGACATGAAATTAAGATTTTTATCTTCAACCTCTGATTTATTGTTCATTCCAAAAACCGGTTTTTCACTCTACGCCTCTAATCTCTATTGATAACGTGTATACCTACAAGTACAAATCATGAATCTATTTTCAAACCGACATATAATTGCTGCAACTTATTTTACAATAACAACAAATCAAATGAAAATGGAGAAAACAACAAAAAACTTAATGACTCTATATATGAACGAAATTAATTAAGATAATGCGTTAAAACTTAATGTTATTAAATCTAGATTTGAATTTATCGACATACGTAGAGAGTAGAGAAAAAAAAAATTGAAATTACAATGTTATGCAATATTCATGACTTCCGTTTCAATTTATAGGATATATCCACATATCTCCTCTAGTCTCTTAGCTTTTATAAACCAAGTCGTTCTTAATAATAAAGTAGAGGCTTTAAATAAAATGAGAAACAGTTCCATATTTGTTGAAGGTGAAATTGCTTTCGTTAGCGAGCACGAATTTTGCCAGAGCTGTCTTCTTTTATCCCTTTAGAAAAGACTCAAGTTTATGTCTTTTCCAGTTTAGTACTGGTCGTTAAAGTGTTTTGTACTTTCTTTGCTTTAAAATCTATACTTGTTCCTGTGAGAACATTATTTTAATTTATTAAAGTCAATAATGGTGGACACGTCTTTCGAATATTACTTCATACTATTCTATACTATTCCATATTATTCCAATTTTCAATTCGTCTCCATTTCGAAATAAATTTCCTTTTTCGAATAATAATTCACAAAGTAATTAATTATTCCCATTCTCAAATTTAATGAGCAGGTCTTCTAGAATTTTTTTCGTTTCATATTCAAATATTATTTTATATTATTTCGATATTAAAATTTTCAATCCGTGTATATTTCGAAATAAATTTCCAATTTCGAACAATAATTTAAAGAGCAATTAATTTCTTCAATTAATTCAGAAAATTCGTTGAGAAAATTTGATGAGAATATTCAATGAAGAAGAAGACTTTTAGAAATATTTTCGTTTCATATTCGTTGTGAGAAAAAAATATTGTTTTACTGTCTTCCAGTCGAGTTAGGTCCGGAAGACCCATGTTGCATCGTAGATAACATTTTTTGCCGACAATTTTTTTTTCTTTCTCATATCCAGTCACACTTGTGAGCCATACGCGACGACACCATAGCATGAGAAAAATCCCCTTTTTTTTGTTGAAACGAGATATTTAGTTTTTAACATTTCTCTTTTCTCAGGGAAGAAAAAACTCCCTCTTTCATTTTATAATAATTAATATTTCCAGAAGGAAATTTTATAATTAATATCTCGAGAAGAAAATTTTATTTAGAAATATAAAACTGCCTCTGAAGGGAGTTTGAATGAAAGTTAAATCTAATTGGATTTCAAATCCAAAGTTCAATACAGAGGATTAGAGCTAAAATGGACAATTCAAACTTTACGAATTATGAACGTAGAAAATTTAAATTACCCAAAATAATGAAGAAATAGAAACTGAAATTTAATTCCACAATGATTTCAAATTCACCTTTCTTTTTATTCTACAATTCAAAAAGAGGAAAATTATATCCAGAATTAATTAATTCGAGAAGAACAGTAAAAATCATAGACTTTACTCCAAAACTCGTTTCATAGAAAAACTAAAAGAAAAACTGAACTGAAAAATAAACACAAATTATGAACGAAGAAAATTAAAATTACCCAAAATATGAAGAAATAGAAATTGAAATTTAATTCCCCAAGGATTTCTAATAATAGCCTTTTTTCTACAATTGAAAATAGGGAAATTTTATCGTGAAATAATTAATTCAAGAAGAACAATAGAGATACAAGCCTCGGATTGAGTTTAAGGCGCAAAAAAGTCACTTTAGTCGATTGAAGATAAAAAAAGAAATCGTTTATTTTATTCAGTGTTGACGCAAAAAATTCATTTTGTATTTCCCTGACCTTTCATTGATTTCTTCAATTGTTAAAAATTTGAATAATTCTGTTAAATAAATATTTAAGTATTTGTTTTTTCCACAGATTAAATTTTTCAATTTTATTTCTTATTTAATTTTATTTCAATTCTGAAATTTAATTATTTCTAAAAATTACATATGTAACGCTTACAATATTTTATTATTTTCCTGAATTTAAAATTAAAATTCTTCTCTAAATGGATATTTAATAATTTTCCGAAAGTTCTACGAGAATTTAATTATTTAAATACAAAAAATCAATTTTTCAACAAACAAAAAAATAGAAAATGTAATTAATTTTTCACTTTCTTCTCGAGAAGTTCATAAGGTTAATTATTGAAAATATATTACAAAAAATATTTTAAATAATTGATTTTTAAAAAATTATAAGAAAAAAATTCTTAAAATTAATTTTTTAAAAATATTTTAAAATATTTTTTGAAAGCTAATAAATGTTTTAATATACAGAATTCATAAATTTTCAAATAATTAAAATTTAGTAAAATTTTTTGAAAAAATTGAATTTTTTAAATGAATTTTTGAAAAACATTTATAGGATATATCCACATATTTTAAGTCTAAAAAAGTAGATTTTTTGAAAATTCTAATTCATTTTTTTTTTAAATAATTGAATGTTAAAAAATTATTATAAAAAATTATATTTTTTTTATGAATTCAATTATTTTTGAAATTTGCAATTAATGTTCTTTAAAATTTTATTTTCAATATTTTTAATGTAAAACCTAAAAAAATCAATTATTTAATAAAATTTTACACAATTTGAATTATTTAAAAACTTTTCATTTATATATTTCAAAAATTTAATTAAATTAATAAATACTCAAATATAATTATCTTGAAAATTTTTACTCGTTATTTTTCACATTAAGAAAATCGAAATAAGTTGCATTTTACACTAAGAAAAATGGTATTTTGTTGAAATATTTGGAAGAAAAGTAAAAAAATAGTCGATTTTTTACTAAATAATTCGAAAAAAGTCCCAAAAGTCAAAAAGCCGAGGCCTGACAATAAAATTCATAAACTTCACGCCCAAAAATTTGTTTCATAAAAACCAAAAGGAAAACAGAACCGAAAAATTCTCAACTTGAAGAAAAGAAACATAATTGAAAGCAATTACGAACAAAATAACGTGCAACAAAGTAACAAAACATTTCACAGTAAAATAAAGAAATTTGCTCAAAGTGAGACCAAAAACGAGACAAAAAAAATGCTTCGCAAGAAGATAAAAATAATCTCTCTCCGGGTTAAAATTGTTTCCAGGAAAAGAACTCCGGGTAATAAAATTAAATAGCAATAAAACATTATACGTGGCAAACAAGACCTGATTTACCGAAAATAATGCCTTTTTTTCTCAAGGGAAGTAAAAGAAGAATTACAAAAGCAAAAGAATTGTAAAACGAAAAATTTTAGGGGAGGAAAGAAGTGATCGTGATTTCACAAAAAAAAGTGCTACCGCCGTTTTTCTTTTTCATGCTCTCTTCGTATATATATATGTATATAAACCGATCTCGTGTGTTGTCAGGAGGCGCCGCGAGGTGCAATTTTGTGCTCTTCGGTAGGGAAGAAAAAAGAAGAAAGGACCAAAACAGAAAAAAAACAACAACAACGAAACGCAAAAAAAAGAAGAAGAAAAAGGAGGAAAAAAAAGAAGTAAGCATTATTGGCGAAACGGTGAACCGAATTGTGGAATGCTTGGGCTCTCTATAATTTTCATTTTCGGTCCGGTAATTGGTGTGCTTCGTTAATTGCTATATAGTCTTGTGAGCCTAAGGCCAAATATGGAATAATTTTCAACTATGAATAACGTCTATAATAAGGTCTTTCTCTCATTTTTCAACTCCTTTTTTTTCTCATTCACTTTTACTTTTCGTTCACTTCTCCTTTTTCTACTCTTTTTGGTCTTTTTCGAATTTTTTCCGATCGAAACATCATCGAAGAAAAAGAAAATTTGATCGTTTATTTCATTTTCATCGAGAAAAAGGTTCAAAAAAGAAAGAAAGAGGGATAAACTTCGAAAAAGAAGGAAAAAGGGACCAAACTTCGAAAGAAGGAAAATACTTCAAAAAAGAAAAAAGAGGAAAAAACTCCAAGAAAAAAAATCCCAATTGCAGACTTCGTACTCAAAAATTAATTTTAAAAAAGTAGCAAAATGTAGCTTTCAAACTAAAAAAAAGTAGTAAAAAAGTAGCTATCAAAAAATTAAACTTGACGACCAAAAAAACTCGTTTTAGACACTTTACAAAACTGCGACAAAAATTCCATTCTATATTTTATTTTCCTGACTTTTTCCAAATTTTCATCAAAAATATTTACTTCTTTCTTATCCCGCTAATAAATTGAATATGCAACGAATTTTATTATTCATAAAAGAATTTAATTTATAAAAATAATTTAATTCTTACAAAGAATTTTATAAAAATTTTGAAATAATTCATTTCTTTAGACTAATTTCAAACAAATTCTAATTTAAATCATTGAATTCCTGAGAAATTTTTATTATTCAAGAAAATAATTGAATTACTTACGAAGATTATTACAAAAAATGTTTAAATAATTAAATTTTCTTTGGAAATTCGATGAAAATAGTAGATTTTGAAAATCATTGAATTGCGAAAAGTTTTTAAAAATAATTAAATTTTACAAAGAAGTCTATTCAAATTTTTGAGAATAATAAAATTGAATGCCTGTGTGGCATTTTATTAAATTTTTATTGAAAATAATTGAATTCCTAAAAAGCATTTTGTCATTTATGAAAATAATTGAATTCCTGCGAACGATTTTATTAGCATTTTTTTTAAAATAATTGAATTTCCAAGAAGAAATTTATTACATTTAAAAATAATTGAATTCTTGTGATGAATATTGTTATTTATGAAAATAATTAAATTTTTTTGAAGAATTTTATTAAAATCTAAAAGAATAATTGAATTATTTCAAAAAAATTTAAATTTAAATTGTATTTAAAATAATTGATTTTTTTCGAACAATTTTAATAAAATATTTGGAAATAATTTAATTCCTGTGAAAAATTCTAATATTTTTCTAAATAATTGAATTCCTGTAAAAAAATTCCAATATTTTTGTAAATAATTGAATTCTTCTAAATAATTTAAAAAAAACATTTTTTTAAATAATGGATTTTTTCGAGGAATTGAAATTAAATTTTTAATAATATCCTGCGATGAATTTTATTTATGAAAATAATTGAATTCTTGTTTAGAATTTTATCAAAAACTTGTTTAAAAAAATTGAATTCTCATGAAAAATGTTATTATTAGTGAAAGTAATTGAATCGTATACAAATTTTGTTATATAATTTATTTTAAAAATTTTTTTTGAAAATGATATTGTGAATAATTGAATTCCTGTAAAATAATTCTAATATTTTTGTAAATAATTCAATTCCTGTAAAAAAATTCTAATATTTTTGTAAATAATTCAATTCTTCTAAACAATTTTAAAAAAAACATTTTTTTAAATAATGTATTTTTTCGAGGAATTGAAATTAAATTTTTAAGAATATCCTGCAATGAATTTTATTATTTATGAAAATAATTGAATTCTTATTTAAAATGTTATCAAAAATTTGTTGAAAAAATTGTATTCTTATGAAAAATGTTATTATTAGTGAAAGTAATTGAATTGTATAAAAATTTTGTTATATAATTGATGTTTTCGAAATTTTTTTGAAAATGGTATTGTAAATTAATTGAATTCCTGTGGAAATTTGATTATTTATGAAAATAATTGAATTTTATCAATTTTTTTTTAAATAATTAAATTCTTTTGTGAAATTTTATGGAAATACTAGATATTGAAAATAATTTAATTTCGAATATTTTTTAAAAATAATTAAATCTTTTCAAAGAATTTGATTTTAATTTTTGAAAATAGTTTTTTGATTTCTAAAAATTAGCGAATTTAAAGTAGTGAAAATTCTCGAAAAAAACCGGAAATAGTAGCTTTTAGTGGCGGAAATCTAAAAAAAGTACCCAAATAGTAGCATAACGTAAAAAAAGTAGTAAATAGTAGGTTTTAGTAGATGAGTGCGAAGCCTGCAATATTGTTTATGACAAGAAAGAAAAAATAGGCATTTCACTTTCGTTTTTTCGTTAATTTTCTCCCCTGGCTATTCTTTTCCTTTGGTTTATGCGCCTCCCTTATATTTTCTGCGTCGTTCGCTTGTCCATAAAGTATAGAAGAAGAGAAAAGAGTCTCTTTCTCTCTGTTTCTCTTCAGAGGACCCGAAGTAACCACACATGTAGGAAGTCATTGATTGCTCATACGCCAGATAAAAGATGGTTGCATTAGCATATAGATTGAGTTCGCTGCTTTTCAGGCACTTTTTCTCCTCGAGCAAATTCACTACCGTCAATATCATCTCCCGAAAGTTCACTTCTATTTTTCTTTCTCTCTTTATTTTTACTCAAATCACCGCTGTTTGTTTTATATCAGCCATATAAGACTAACGATCGGCAATGACTTATCACTCTTTTCTTGAAGAAGCAATATATATACAATAATTGCAAAAGAGAAAAAGTAGACGTGTCGATTCTGGTAAAGATTATTTTCTAGCTGCTCTTCTTTTGTGTCTAACGCCAAGGGAAAAGAGAGCGAGTATAGAATTTGCTGATCACGGCTTTTGTTCTTTTGCCGCATATCTATAAAACCATGTCCTAGAAAATGACGTCTAGATATTAGCCAATTTTTTTTTTTTTTTTTTTTTTTTTTGCTTTCCTATGAACAGAATTGAAAGAAATTGTCAAAATGTCGTGATAAATTGATATTTTCGAAAATTGATAGCGCCAAAAAAAATAATTTTACTTTCGGTGAATATGGAAACTTCCTATTTTAGACTGAAGTGTATTCAATAAAAAAAATAAATAAAGTTGACAATTTTAATCTACAATTTTAAACAATTAAATTTACAAAGTTGACACAAAAATTTTAATTTGTCTTACCCTTATTGCCTAATTTCCAGAGAGAATTGTAATTTTTCCCTTGATAGAAAAAATTTACCATATAAAAAAAATCCAAAGGGAGTTTAATTTTAAAAAAGTTTATTTTTTAAAGCAAAAATTTAATTTCAAACTATTAAGAGCGTCCACCTATTTTAAAAATAAAATGATTTGTTGTGGCAAACTTCTCTTGATTATTTGAAAAAATTCCAATCTAATTCTTAAGAAATTGAACTATTTTATAACAAATTTTAGACAATTTCAATTATTTCAAATAATTTCAATAAAATTCCTAAAAAATTGAATTATTTTTCATAGAATTTTAAAAAAATTCAATTATTTCAAAAATATTTCAATAAAGTTCTTTCAAAATTCAATTATTTTTAATAGAATTTTAGGAAATTTCAATTATTATAAAAAAGTTCAATAAATTGTTTACAAAAATTCAATATATTTAAAAATTAGAACTTGAATATTTTTAAAAACTATTGTCCAGAATTTTGAATAAAAATTTTTTAAAATCATTAAAAACTTTTATTGTAACTCTATCAAAAATAAATTATTTTATACAAAGATTCTTTTAATAATAATTCAAGTATCTTTAAAAAATTCAATGAAAATTTCTCAGAAACCTAATTTTTTTCTAATTATTTCCGAAAACTGCAATTATTTTTATTTAGCAACTTTTATTTGAAATTCTAAAAAAAATTTGTTTCTGAGAAATTTTCTTTCAATTGTCCATGAATAATTGAATTAAAAAAAATGTTAATGAATTATCAAATTAATTGAAATTTTGTAGAATCGAATTAAAAATAATTTAATTTATTAAAAAATTTCATTAAAGATTTAAAAATAAATTAAATTAAAAAAGGATTTAAAATTTTAATTCCATTTTAACTAAATTAAGTTTGAAAGAGTTAATATTAATTTTTTTTTATTAATTTGTTAAAATTTAAAAAACATATAATTTATAATTTTGTTTAAAAATGGAAGTTTCGAAAAACTTTTATTTTAAATTCTGAAGAATTCTTCAGAATTTTAAATATAAATAAAATAAAAATAAGAGTATTGCAGTTCTATTTTTTAAAAGGTTATTGAATTTTTATAAACTAGAAATTAGAAATTTTTTAAATAATCGAAATTTCAAAAAATTCTATTAAAAATATTTCAATTTTTGAAAATAATCGAGAGAATATCGCCATAATAATTATCCTTTTTTATAATTAAATTTCTTTTGAATTTTATTTATAGGGAAAAATTTTTGTATCAGGAAAAAAGTCAAAATTCTGTCTGTAAATCAGGGAAATTTCAGAGAAAACGAAATTGGCCAGGGAAATATTGGGAAATTTTATCAAAAGTACAGGAAAAGAAAAACAAACTTCTAGGATTACTACAAAAAATTCTTGTGTTTCGTGTATAAAAATATTTTTGAAAAATATTTCTAATTAACTTAGAAAAAAATTTAAATTGAAAACAGTTACAATTTTGGGAAATAATTTAATTTTAGGAGGTTTTAAACTAAAATTTATGAAAATTTCAATTGCTGTAAAAAAATTGATAACAAATATTTATTGAAAAAATTGTTTAATTTTTAAATACCAGTTTTTATTTCACTTCTAAGTCAATTATAATTTTAAATTTGTAAGAAAGTTATTCAAGAATTTAATTGTTTAAAATAAATTTAATTATTGACAGAAATAAGAAATGAAGTAAAAAAAATTCAATGCAAATTCAAGTTTTTTAAGTATCTCGAAAAAATTTTAAACACCAAAAACTAGACATTTTAATTGTAAATAGTGGAAATAAATCCACAAGTATTTGTTTATTCGTAGTAATAATTTTAAAGAAAAAATAAATTATTATTTTGGTCAAACTGTCAATTTTATTCATATGTTTTGTAAAAATTGATGAACAAATTATTATTAAATAAAATAAATTAAATTGATCGTTTGACCAAAGTAATTAATAATTTATTTCTTCAACACCAGACTTTTTGTAGTTATTCTAGAACTTTGTTATTTTTCCAGCACTTCTGATAAAATTCCCCAACTAATTTAATTATTATATCACAATTACGAATTATATTACAATATTATAATTCTTTGATCAATTCCATTTTTCCTGATATTCTCCTGATTTACCTGACCTATGGCAATCCTGGTTTACAATTTACGTCTGAAGAAAAAATTAATTGGAAATTCGAAATCCTCCCGAATGAAATCTGAAAAAATTTCCAATAATTGACTCGAATTTCAATAATTTGCTCTCGGATAAATATTCACTATAAATTTTTGATGAGTTTTTCAGTGAAAATCGAAATTCGAACTTAATCTTTTCTTCCCATAGATATACAATTTGTCTATTATAATCTTTATATATCTGACCTTGTAATTTCTTCGATGAGTTTGCAGGGATCGGCTGCGTAGAATTTCACGCCAAAGTAGAGAGTGTGAACGTCGAGGCTGTGATCTCCCTTTTGAAATTTGAGTTGCTTGCTGATTTTCTTGCTTGGATCGAGCCATTGCTGCAAAAAGGATTTCAAAATTACAACATTGGTATATATATATATAGTATAGTATCTATATTGAATCAAGTCAAATTAATTCCTAAAGCATCGAAAGACTGGAATATAGAGATAGAGTGAGTGAGTGAGAGGAGAGGAGAGACTGGGCAATGGTTTGAAGTATCGCTCGGGAAGACCGGAAATTATAGCAGTGCTCGGTATTTCCCGTTGATAATAATCTCATCTTCGTCTCCAGCCCTCAGGCCAAGTAATCGGAGACATTGAAGGGATTCGCATATACGGATTTATAGGCACCGAGAATCTAATTAACGACGGTCAATTCCATTTTCTCCAATTTTCTTCCTAACGATCTTTGCTCGTCCTGCCCACTAATTTTTCCGCACTAAAATTTATCAAATTCATTATAATTTTAATCGAGTATTTCATTCAATTTTCGATATTATTTTATCATTATAAATTATAATTAATTTTCTTTAACGTGCTTCGTCTCTCAATTACAATTTTATTCTCTTTGCCATTATCGATAAATTCAGGACTCTTTCAATTTTCTCGAATCAAAGAATTTCTTTTTTTCACCATTTCTCGAGTGTCACATAAATATTTTTTATTCAATTACTCAAAAAAAAATTTTAATTACCGTTTAAAATAAAGAAATTCAAATATCCAACAATTTTCTCTCTCGTTTTTCCAAAAAAACAAATTTTTAATTTCTTTTTGAATTTTTAACAGAATAAGACTTGTAATTATTTTGCAAATATTTTTATAATTTTTCTAAAGGCGAAAAATAGAGAAATTTTGATTTTTTTTCTTTAATCAGAGCAGGTTTCAGATTTGAATGGATAAAATAGGGAAAAGTCTGCGAGACACGAATATAACCTTGAGGCAGACAATTTAGTCTCGAATGGACAGAATTGGTCCAAAACCTGATTCCCATAGTTATTATGAGTGGTGTCTAGGAAGAGGGAAAAAAAACCAAAGAACTAATTTTATTCCACACCTCTTAGATTGATATCTTAATAGGAAGTTTTATCGCTTCTACTTTCGTGGGTAGCATTTGAATTTCTTCATTTTCAAAGGGTAATTTAAATTTTTATCGAGCATTGAATATAAAATATTTATCTAAATATTTATGTGTGACACTCCGCAGAAATTGTGGAAAAAACAAATTCTTTTCAATATAAATTACAATTTCCAGGAGAGTAAAGAAAAAAAATATATAAAATCAAATATACATAATAATGCAAAATTTACATTAAAAATATAAAAATAAAATAAAAAAACTAATTTAAAAAAAACCAAAGAAATAAAATAAGTACAAAATCAATTTTAAAAAAATAAAAAAATAAAGTAAACATAAAATTAATCACAAAAAACAAAAAAAAATCAGAAAAGGGAAATTAACACAAAACTATCTTTAAAAATAAAATAAACAAGAAAAGAAAAAATAAATATAAAATTAAGTACAAAAAAAATGCAAAACTAACTTTAAAAAAAACAAAAGAATAAATTAAGTAGACAATTATAAAACAACAAAAAAGTAAAAAAAGGGAAATAAAAACACAAAAATATGTTAAAAAAAAATAAAAATAAAATAAACCCTAAATTAAAAAAGCAATAAATATAAATTATAAAATTAATAACAAAAAAATTCAAAACTAACTTTAAAGAGAACAAAAAAATAAATTAGGTAGACAATTACAAAACAACAACAACAAAAAATAAATGGGAAATAAACACAAAACTATTTTAAAAAAACAGAAAAATAAAATAATCCCTAAATTAAGAGTACTCTAAATTAATAACAAAAGAAAAAATAAATATAAAATTAATTACAAAAAAAAATTCAAAACTAACTTTAAAAGAAAACAAAAGAATAAATTAAGTAAAGAATTATAAAACAACAAAAAAGTAAAAAAAGAGAAATAAACACAAATATATGTTAAAACAATAAAAATAAAATATACCCTAAATTAAAAAAGCAATAAATATAAATTATAAAATTAATAACAAAAAAAATTCAAAACCAACTTTAAAAAGAACAAAAAAATAAAACAAATATACAATTACAAAACAACAACAACAAAACCTAAAAAAGGTAATAAACACAGAAATATTTCAAAAATAAAATAAACTCTAAATTAATAACAAAAAAATTAAACATAAAATTAATAATAAAAAATAATAAAACAACAAAAAAAGGTAAACTGAATACAAAATAACAAAAAAAGAAAGCAAAACAAGTAAAATTGATACGAAACTAATTTTAAGAAAATAAAAAAATAAAAACAGCACAAAATTAATTACAAAAGAAGAAAATAATGTAAAATAAATACAAATTAAGTACAAAAAAACTTAAAATAAATAAAATTTAGAAAAACAGAAAATTAAATAAAAAAGATGGAAAAATAAGTAACGAATAAAATCAATACGTGAAAACTAAAATTATTGAAATTAAATAAAACTTTTAATATTTTTTGAAGAAATACGATTTTTATAAAAGGTATTAAGATAAAAAGAAATTACCGTTTGATTTTCGTTGTCAAGATATCTCAGACCAAAGTAGGCAGTTTCCAAAAGATTCAGATGTCTAAAAACTCGATCCAATAATTCTTGTCCCAGATTTGAACTCTAAAACAAAATAAAAATACCAAATAAGAATAATTCTCCAAAAGAAAAAATAATTTTACACATTTTTCAATAATAAAATAATTCAATAGTACCGCAAAATAATTTACAATTTCAATGCAAATTAATTTTTATTTTATCTCCAAAAGTGTCAAGACGATTTAATTCTTTTTTTCTTTCAACACTTAAATCGATTTCTCGCAGATGTCTCAATTTTTAATACTTGTTTTAAATTTCTAACTGGATATTTTGGCAGTGAACCTTAGAGATTCGAATTTTAGCAAGTGAGATTGAAATCGTCGGTTTCCGGTTCCCAGTGATTCCGCAAGCAAACCGTGACGCTCATTTATTTTCTTCCCCAGAGGGAAACTAACGGAGCCAATCGAGGGAGTATATATATATATATATATATGTTTGATGCACTGTGAATATATACGGTAAAGAAGTATAAGCGCCAAGTAAGCGTAATGAGCCAAGATGAAAAAGTAGGGTTGTGAAACAATGGGTCATCTCATTTTACGCTTATTTATACAGGAAGTGGTTCAGCCACGTGAAAAATCGAGTGTGCGTGGGAGTTTCATAATTTCATAGGTGGTCCCGGAAAATATTTTTTTTTAATACAAAATATGAAAATTTAACAGAAATTATATAAATAGTTAATTAATATTATTATGACCATTTACTATAATTTAAATAATGATAACAATAATGAAAAATTTATTTTGTTGTCCTAAGAATTAAAATTTTTTCTAATAACAATAAATCTGTTGAGGTAACAAAAAATTTTGTAACAATAACAAACGAAATTTGTTAGTTCTATATTAACAATTCTTTTTTCTCTGTGCAAATTAAAAAAAAATTTTTTCTCTACAAAATTTTAATAAATCCTTCGAAACAATTCAATTATTTTTTAAAATAGTAAAATCTTTGCAATAATTCAATTATTATCAATAAAATTTCACAAAAGAATTAAATTTTTTTTCTTAATTCATTATAATATTTTTCAAAAGAATTCAATTTATTTCAAAAATTTTAATAAAATTCTTTCTAAAAATCCAATTATCCATATTCAATACAATCTCAATTAAATCCCTCTAAAGAATTTAAATTTTCATCGAAACAATTATATTATTTTTCAAAAGTTTTAATCAAAATCTTAGCAAGATTTCAATTATTTTCATAAATAACAACATTTTTCAAAGGATTTCAATTATTTTCAAAAATTTTAATAAAATTATTCCTAAAAATCCAAAATTTTTTTTAAAATTCTTCTTAAAAATTCAATTATTTTCATAAAAAATAAAATTCTTTTGAAGATTTCAATTATTTTCATTAATAATAAAATTCTTTCGAGGATTTCAATTATTTTCATAAATAATAAAATTCTTCGCAAGAATTCAATTATTTCCATAAAAAGAAAAATTCTTTTAAAGATTTCAATTATTTTCTTGAATAATAAAATTCTTCCGAGGATTTTAATAATTTTCAAAAATTGAAATAAAATTATTTTTGTAAATTCAATTATTTTCGTAAAAAAAAAAAATTCTTTGGAAGATTTCAATTATTTTCATTAATAGAAAAATTCTTCGGAGGATTTCAATTATTTAAAAAAATTTGAAACAAATTCTTGTCAAGAAATCCTTTCGAAGTAAAATTAATAGCAAAAATTAAATTACTTTTTATAAATAATAAAATTCTACTGAGAAATTCAATTGTTTTTAATACAATTTTAATAAACTTCAAGAATCGAATATTTTATTATAACTATTAACAATCACGATTATTTTGAAAAGTTGAAAAAATTCTTTGTTTAATTCAATTATTTTCAAAAGTTTGAATTCAAGAGTTTAAAATTCTATCAATAATTTTAATAAAATTTTAATCGAAAGAATTTAATTATTTTCTATATTTTAATAAAATTCCTTGAATAAATTAAATTATTTTTGAAAATTGTAATAAAATTCTGTGAAGAATTTAAATATTTTCTAAAAATTTTAATAAAATTCAATACCTAATGAAATATTTAATTTCAATTATTAAGAAACACGATTATTTAAAAAACTTAAAAGAAATTGTTCATAAAATTCAATTACTTTCAAAATTTTCAATTAAATTTCAATAAAATCACAAAAGAATTCAATTTTTTTCTTAATTCTTTATAAAATCTTTTCAAAATAATTCAATATTATTTTCAAAAATTTTAATAAATCCTTCGAAACAATTCAATTTTATTTATAAATAGTAAAATTCTTAGCAAAAATTCAATTCTTTTAAAAAAAATTTCACTCATTCATTTTTTTTCTTAATTTATTATAAAATTTTTCAAAATAATTCAATTATTCTCTAAAATTTTAATAAAATTCTTCTTAAAAATTAAATTATCTTCATAAAAAATAAAATTCTTTTGAAGATTTCAATTATTATCTCAAACGATAAAATTCTTCCCAGGATTTCAATTATTTTCAAAAATTTTGATAAAATTCTTCGCAAGAATTCAATTATTTTCATAAAAAGAAAAATTCCTTTGAAGATTTCAATTATTTTCTTAAATAATAAAATTCTTCCGAGGATTTCAATAATTTTCAAAAGTTGAAATAAAATACGATTTTAAAAACTTGAAAGAAATTGCTCATAAAATTCAATTATTTTCAAAATTTATAATTAAAATTTTTAAAGAAACTCAATTAAAAAAAAAAAATTCAAAGAAATTCTTCAAAAAGAATTTAATTAGAATTTTCAAAAATTTTAACAAAGTCATGAATTCTTGTTTTCATTGAAATTTTCATATAATTTATGTTTATAGTTAATGGATAATGTAATAAAAAAAAATACAATAAAAAGATATTCTAAAGTACAGATAATATAGAGAATAAAATATGGAAATTAAAAAAAAATTACTACTAACATAAATATGGAAAATAAAATGTAAAAATTCAGTAATAGAAAAAATTTTCTACATTTTCTCAAATTGCTAAAAATGAAATTGAAACTAAACCAATCAATTGATCTTAATCCCTTATTCATTCATTAATTTTGTCAAAAATTACATATTCGAGAATAATTTCCCTCGAGACAAAAAAAAAAAACATTTTTCCTAAGAATGCAAATGAGATTCGAATTTGTAATAACCAGTATTTCAAATGCAAGGTTTACTCTGAGTCGTTAGTAAAATTTGAATTTCTGATTACATTTGAAATATTTCCAACCTCCAGTATATAAAGAATAATATTCATTTAATATATTATAGCAGAACAAAATAATTCATCAAAAAATTTTCTCAATAATATTGACAAATAAATATAAATGTATAATTTGTTTTTATATTTCGTTCAACCTTCTTTTTTAAAGATTTTTTTTTATTTTTCTATATAAACAGAGAAAAATATGAATAAATACGAAAAAAGCTTTATGGTAATACAGTTGACATTGTATTGCAATTTTACTTCTTTTTATCCTTTGATGGTTCGTTTATTTGTGTCGCTTTTTCGCTTTTTTAAAAATCTAACGACGCGGATGCGACAAGCACTGTGTGTATACGTGTGTATTTATGTCCTTTAATGATCGTCTTCCTCTTTATTCGCGGGTAGACGCAAAGCGAGTGGATAATTTCACGATTCACTTTAATCTTTATATTGAGAGATCATAAGTAATTCGTTTGCTTCTAATATTCTGTCGACAGGATAGAAAAATTTTATTCAAGTGCGAAAGAGAAATTACTTTATAATTTTAACAGAAAATTTTTGTTCGAAAATTTTAATAATGAAAAAAAAAATTTCAACCGAGAATAAAAATTAGATTATTAATAATAATTATTATTTCATTAATAAATAATGTAATGTAATATAAATAATAATAATCATTGTATTCCGGTATAATTTGTTTGCAGTTTTAAGTCAGTTGTTGTTTGCTTTTTTGTTTTTTAACTTTTTTAATAATTTTTCTTTTTAAATATTTTCAAATTTAAAATTAATCTACTGAAAATCATTGAATTCTTGCAAAGTTATTTAACAAAAAATTAGAAAATAATTGAATTCATTTCAAGAATTTCATCAACATTTTTTTCAATAATTGAATTCTTTCGAAAAAATGTAATTAAAATTGTATAAATAATATAATTCTCGGCATGATTGTAATATTCTTTAAAATAATTGAATTGTTTTGAACAATTTATTTCAATTTTCTTAAAAATAATAAAGCTTTTTTTTAATATTTTTTACTGAAAATTTTGAATGTAATTGAATTTTATGAAGAATTTCTTTTAAGTTTTTAAAAAATAATCGTCTTTATACTTAACTGTAATAATTTAATCAGTTTTTGTGAAAAATTACATTTTTCTTGAAGAATTTTATTAAATTTCTCAAAAATAATGTAATTTTTTAAAATCATTTTAATTAAAAATTTTGAAAATAATTGAAATTTACAAAGAAATTTATTAAAAACTTTTGAGAACAATTAAAATGTTTAAAAAAAATTTGACTACAATTTTCAAAAATAATTGAACCTGTTAGAGAAATTTTATTAAAATTATCTTGAATATAATTGAATTTAATCCTAGAAATTTTATTAAAATTGCATTCAAAATAAAATTGAATTTCTCAGAAGAATTTTATTATTTACAAAAATAATTGAATTATTTCGAAGAATTTTATCGGAATTTATTGTTGAAAATCATTTAATTTTTATTAAAACTCTTATGAAAATAATTGAATTTAAATAATATTTTTTAAAATAATTGAATTTTTTGAAGGAAATTTATTAAAATTGTTAAAAGTAATTGAATTTCTCCGAAACATTAGATTTTTAATGAAAACAATTAAATTCTTGTGAAGAATTTTATTATTTATGAAAATATTTTAATTCTTCCAAAGAAATTTTTAATTTATGAAAATAATTGAATTGTGGAACATTTTACAATTCATAAAAATAATTGAATTGTTTAGAAGAATTTTATCTGAATTTTTGAAAATAATTAAATTTTTTGAAGGAATTTTATTAAAAATTTT